CCCTTCCCCCCCGGTAACGGCCGTTATCGCCGAAGAACTTTAAAAATGCCTTCTGCGCTCGGCCGGCTTCTATCTCGCACTGGAAGTAGGCGCTTACTGATGGCTGCGCGCCTCTGCATCTGTTCCGCGCCTTCAGCGTCGGCCTTCTCAAACCCTAAAGCCCCTGGTCGCCGCCCACCTTGAGGCTCTCCTCCGCTAGCTGCCAGTCGGCCTTGGAATGTCGCACGTGGCCCGTCTCATGCGTCGGCCTCTGCCGATCGCCGAGGCGCTCCACGTTCTCGCAGGCCTTCCAAGCCGTGGACTGGCGCAGGCCCGCGAGCTCCGCGGCGAGGCTGCTGCTAAACTGATCAAAAAAGACCCTGCGCCAAAGACCGGTCGGGAACCGAACACAACACCACCGCCTCCGTGAAGCCCCGCAGCAGCGAGGCCTCCCGAGCGCTGCGCCCGAAAGACCGACACACACTCTGCCGAGCCAGCTGGGCATCCGGCCAGTGAGTTGGACACCCGCGCCCCTCCGCGCGGGAGCCGATCCTGCCCGCTCGCTCCATGCCAAGCGAGACCTACGGGTTCGTCTGGATCCTCACTTGCACGAGCCACTGCGGCCCGCCTCCTCGGGTCTACAGCTGCCCGCTGCCCTGTCGAGGCCGCCACGGTCCTGCTCCCATCAGCATGACCACTCCCTTCGGGTGCTTCAGCTCGTTGACGTGGATTCGGTTCCACCTCGACCCCGGTGCCATCCTTTGGACGAGGATGATGTGATATCGTGATAGAACCAGCTTAGGATACGTTTCAGGCTTACGGGAGTAGCTAGCGGCCCTTGTTTCTGCGGCCCGTGTGGACAGTTAGGAAGACTGAACATCCTGGAACGCCTGGAAGTCCTGGAATGCACCATGATCCTGACCCCTTGCCCCTCCGAATCCTGGCAGGCTCGCCCCCTTCGGAAGAGGTCATCGCCGCCGCCTCTCCCGTCGGGCCCCGCGGAGGCCCACGCGTGCGCCGTCCTAGGGCGGGTCAGCCCCCCCCCCCTTGAACCGAGGAGAGTGATGCCGATGGGAGCCGCCTCCGCGTGGCCGGCAGCCTCGGAGGCTGCCTGGGCTCCGCATTCGCCGCTGGGTTGCCATCCCCGCTGCCCGCACGGCGCCTCGGGGCCCCCCCCGCCGATCCCCCCTCGCCGCTCTGCCCGCCGAGGTCCCGCCCGCAGCAGCAAGATCTCCCGCCCCCGGCGGCGAGGACGCGGCCACGACCGCCGACGAGCCGGTCCCGAGCTGAGCGCCCCCCCCCACGGGCCGACGCCCCCCGCGGCCCGCCGCGGTGGCACGGTGCAGGCGCGGGTTCCGCGCAGAGGCGGGCCGCCCCGCTCGAGCCAAAACACGTTGGGCGACGGAAAGCAACGGGTCTCACGCGAGGTGACAAAAGGGACCTTACGCGGGCAGCTTGCGCGGGCCGCCAGCGAGAGACGCTACAGTGGAGACGAGGGCGCTTACGCGAGACCCTACGCGGGCATCATACGCGCCAATGTCGGCGCAATTGAGCCAGTTTTCTTCCGTCCCTCACTTGGGCACGGGCACGTTCCAGGAAGAACCGCAGGATGGCGGCACTGCGAGCTCACAGTGGGCACAAAAGGTGTCGGCTCGAGGCGCGCATTTTACTCTGTGTGCACATACGCGTGTTGCTGTGTATTTCTCTGCCTCTATCACAGTGTGACTATCGCGCTCCCTCTTCTGACAGGTTCCAATTCGCCCCCCTCCCTCTCTATATATGTTACTCTCTGCATCGCTCGCCCCCGTGCCAGCGCACACGCACATGGCCTCCCCTCGTCTCCCACCCGCGAGGAAGCGGAGGGCGAGAGAAGCGGGGGCGACACGGAGACGAAGAGGAGAGCAAGGGGTGGGAAAATAATCGGGCCTTGATGTTCACCGTCTTCTTGGCCTCCATCCTGAAGTGCTTCTGGGCCGGATCGCGCCTGAACCTCAGCGCGTGGAGCGTTGTCCCCAGGACCCCCGCTTCCCCCCCATGCCCCAGCCCCTCCCCCTGCATTCCTCCTCCTCCTCCTCCTCCTCCTCCTCCTCCTCCTCCTCCTCCTCTACCCCTCTCTCCCTCACTTCCCCCCCTTCCCTTTCCCTTCAGGTCTGTTGCCTCCACGGACCTCGCCGCGGGCGAAGGCTGGCTCAAGTCGAAGATGTGACTCGGAACCGGGCGCGACGGAACGCCCGGGACAAGAAACAGCCGCGGCGGACCCCGGTGGCCTTGGGCTGCTGGGGGGGGGCGGACCATTTTTAGGGGGCCAGATGCGAACCCTACCCCTACCCCCCACGATTTCTGAGGGGAGGGTGGGGTTCACTTCGCTCGAGAGCTCCCGAACAAAGTGAACCCCACCCTCCCCCTC